TCTTAAATTATCTTCAGGCTTCTTAACATCAGCTCTTTCTCCTCTGGTCGGTTTATAATCGTCCTTGGGACGTCCTTCAAACGGTCCTTCCGGTCTCAAATTATCTTGAGGCTTTCTTACTTCTGGTCTTTCCGCAGTTTTCGGCGTAAAATCGTCTTTTGGGCGTCCCTCGAACAGTCCTTCTGGTCTTAAATTATCTTCAGGCTTCTTAACATCAGCTCTTTCTCCTCTGGTCGGTATATAATCGTCCTTAGGACGTCCTTCGAATGGTCCTTCCGGTCTCAAATTATCCTGAGGTCTCTTCACCTCTGGTCTTTCCGCAGTTTTCGGCGTAAAATCGTCCTTTGGACGCCCCTCGAACGGTCCTTCTGGTCTCAGATTGTCTTCGGGCCTCTTGACGTCAGCTCTGTCACCTCTAGTCGGTTTATAATCGTCCTTAGGACGTCCTTCGAATGGTCCTTCTGGTCTTAAATTATCTTGAGGCTTTCTTACTTCTGGTCTTTCCGCTGTTTTCGGCATGAAATCGTCCCTTGGACGTCCCTCGAACGGTCCTTCTGGTCTCAAATTATCTTGAGGCTTTCTTACTTCTGGTCTTTCCGCAGTTTTCGGCGTAAAATCGTCCTTTGGACGTCCTTCGAACGGTCCCTCGGGCTTCAGGTTGTCCTGCGGTCTCTTTACGTCGGCTCTCTCGCCTCTGGTCGGTTTGTAATCGTCCTTCGGTCTGGCCTCGAACGGCCCTTCGGGCCGCAAATTGTCCTTGGGTTTCTGCGGCTCCGGCCTCTTGGTAATCGCCGGCACGACGTAGTCGTCCTTAGTGTGAGGCACTCCGTCGAACGGTCCTTCCGTCCTCAAATTGTCGTCCCGTCTGATCACGGCGGTGCTTCTGTAATCAGTCTGATCGAAGCTTCGGTACTGTTCCTGGCTCGTCGTCGTGCTTTCCGTGATATCGGTCTTGCTGTAGAAGCGATCATCCTCGTCGTCGGTGTAGGTGACCCGTCGCCGAGGTTCTCTCTGTGCGATGTCGTACGTGTGAAAATCTTCCTTGAGATGAGAGGTACCCTGAAGAATATTTCGCACTCGATCAGCGATTGAGGGTAAAGATAAGGGTAACTGGGACGATGGATAACGCTCTTGGAACACGAGCCGAGTAGGCTGAATTTTTTTCAACGTTTGAGAAAATTATTGATACTTTACAATCTCGTAATACAACGAAGCTTGGATTCATTTTGTTCCAAGGTGATCACGTAGTGAAGAAAAGTGAAGACAGTGTATGAATAAATTGAAAAAATTTTTTCCAACATGGATTTGAAGGTCGAAGTCTCCTCTTTCGCCCAAAGCTGGATGTATATTTTTTTTTTTTTTTTCACTAATTTATTGAACCTTGAATGATAGGCTTGGACGAAGAAAATGGAAAAATTCGTAATGTTCAAAGCTCAAATAAAAAGATCATACGTCGAATCTTCAAGAAAGAATTGTTCAATGTTTTACAATTTATACAGTAATTTCGAGGGGAAAAATGTCTTTGCCTTTCCACTCGCTACGTGATGTAAAAAAAAAAAAAATGAACGAATTTCTTTTGAAAATGGCGGCTTCAACCTTTGAAGTAAGCCCAGATTTATTGTCGCACGATTTCCTTTTACAACTAGCTAGTAAATATCGACGATTCTTCGGACGTTGGAAATTCAATTTCACGTGCGACTTTTCTGTTGTTATTATTAAAGTATAATTAACAGCAAGTAATCTCTAGTTCTACGAACGGACATCGCTCACCGTGAATTCACCCTCTCCCACCGTGAGGTTATCCGTACGTTTGATGATCTCGGCGCGTTGAACGGTTCGATGATCGACGTACTCGGATCTCGTGGTGGTCGCGTCGATGAACTCGCCCTCGATCTTCGTGTAGGTGTTGCGACGTGCCGGGCTTGGCCGTTCGCCGGGAATGCCGGTGAACACCAGCTCCGTGGTGGTCGTGCCTGCACGTGACAAATGAAAATCCACGAAATCGAACGTGTAATGGAAGAAAAGCTTCGAAATTCTTTGAAAAACATCGACGAATTCTCGTTTTCGGAATC